AATAGAAAATTTATTATTGACTTCTTTTGTCTCTAGATACGCGTCCACTTGGCCTTATAAAGGATAACTGTTAAGACAACATAATCCGTAACTTAGGTGTTATAGAAAAGTTGTTATCGATAACTTTTTACTAAAACATATTTTCTGTCGACTAATTTTCTTCATAGTTATCGATAACTGTTTAGAAAGGGTTATAAAGGGTTGCCTTCGGAAACTTTTTCCTATAATCTAGTTATGACAGACAGACGGACATTGCAAAATCGACACAGCATTTTATGCTGATCATGTATATTTATATGCTTTATGGGGTCTACGATCAATATTTAGGGGAGTTAAGGTGAGAGTACATAAAAAGCTTTTTTGACTGGCTTACGTCAGCGATAGCTTTTCTCCACAGGAAATTTATTATCGGTCACTTTCCAATTTAATCGACGCCATTGCTCTGTTCCAGAACTGCAGGAATAAAAAAATGTTACTACGATAACCGATTTTCCTTTATGATATCGAAAAATTTTACAAAACCAGTAGTTCTGGAACAGAGCATATGTGCTCGCGGCTAGATTTCTCCCTAGAAAACTTGTTATTGAAATATATGCTCTGTTCCAGAACTACAAGAATGAAAAAAAAATATCAAAAGAATTGCAAAACTTGTAGAAGTAGTAGTTGCAAGTTCTGAAACAGAGCAAGTAGTAGTTATTGACAACATTTCTGTATAGAAAATATGTTACTGGGTACATTTCTCTACAAAAAAGTTGTCATTTGGCCTGTTCCAGAACTGCAAGAATGTAAAAGTTTTTACTACGATAACCGATTTTCCCATTATGATATCGAAAAAATTGCAAAACTAGTAGATTCTTGCAGGTACTGGAAGAGAGCACATGATGGCTTTTTTTGTAAAACAGTAGTCATCTATGGTCTGTTCCAGAACTGCAAGAAAAGTTTTTACTACGATAACCGATTTTCCGTTTATGATATCGAAAAAATTACAAAACCAACAGATTCTTGCAAGTACTGGAGCAAATCACTAGATGTATCCCTTATAAAAAGTTTGCTATTTTAAATATATAATTTTTAATAGCAGTGTTATTATCGATATCTAACTATCGAAAACCTTTCCGAACTTAAAAGCTGTTTTCGACAGATTTAATTTTGAGAAAAAACTGTTATCGATAACTAACTTAAGGTGATACATATGGTCTGTTCCAGAACTGCAAGAATTACAACGATAACCCTTAATGATATCGATTTTCCCTTTATGATATCGAAGAATATTGGAAAAATAGTAGATTCTTACAGGTACTGGAACAGAGCAATACACATAACGCTGTTTTGACTGGCTTGAGTCATTGGCTGGCTTTTTCATAGATAGGAGTTTTAGGTTGTCTTAGTTCGAATTTGTTCCTTTCCGACGAAGCCAGTCAAAAACCCGTTTTATGTGTTCTCACCTTTATTTTTGCTCTCTTCTTCTACAATAAATAAATGGACTGTTGCAAGAATATAAAAGTTTTTACTACGATAACCGATTTCTACTTTATGATATCGATAAAAATTGTAAAACTAGAACAGAACACAAATGTTTGAACGACCAAAGAGTTTGTTGCGTAAGAAATATTTTAAAGAGTAAATTGGAGTTTTTTTTTTTTAATAAATAAGAGAGTGAGTCGCATATTATGAGAGTTTAGAATTTAATACCATTCCATTCCGGGTTAATATTAAAATCCCGGCTAAAGACAATAGTCATGCGCATTGGAAACAGATGCTGGAAGCAATGTCTGGGTATCAAAGAAAGGATTTTTCCAATTCGGTTTTGGAAGTTTCATTCACTGAAACGTTGTCAATTGAGTTATGGGTTAGAAATAATTTATTCTTTTTTGGGAAAATATTAGGAACGTATAGGTTTTCAAAGTTTCGTTGGAAGAATGCTTGAGCCGCTTTAAAAAATCGGTATAAAAAATATTTTAATTTCTCGTTTCACTAGGGTCGGATATACAGCTTGGGTTTCTGTCCTTTGTTTCGACAAAAAATTCATTTCAACTTATGAAAGAGCAAAGCTTTGTTTCATTGTTTCGCTTGCCGACAACTACCATAAACAGGTTACTCTATTCCAATGGGAATTTGAATAGTAAACAAAAGAGAAAGGTCCTGAAATTGCGGGGTGGTTTGACTGCAACAAAACCCACCCTCATTTGTTGTTCTTGCGTTTGTAAAAGGGGTGTAAATCTGGAATATTTTACAAAAGTCTGCAGAAACGCGGAAGTAATCAGTCGCAAGGAAATAAAGCAAACAAACAACCCTCGAACATTGAATATTGCATAATGTACAAACAGGCACACACATACAAACATACGTATATAGACATACATACATAGACATAAAATGCAAAACAGGTATTAAAAGTTCTCAATGTTTACTTTCCATTTACATTTGGCTGCTGCTTCTGCTGCCGATGCTCATTTACACCACCCTTGTAAGGGAAACTTCAACATCCTCATGCAAGCAAGCCTTTACAACTACGTTCGCAAATGGTGGCAAACGGATGTGGAATGATGATAGCTGAATGCGGCACGTACGACGTACATATGTATGTGTGCATGTGCAGAATAAATCCTTACTCACGCATCTGGGATTTGTAAATGTTGTAAACGGCTAGAGCCTGTAATGTGGTGTATCATATTGCATTCATTTCCACCACAGGACCCTACAAAGAGAACACCAGAGAGTGTGAAAACTAGGCAGATGAAATGCTTCACCCTGAAGCGGAAGTCCAAGTCCTTTTGTAAGATAGGCATGGGTGCGGTTTTTCATTGAAATACAATAAAAGTTTACAACAACTCCATGGAACCAGATGTATATGATTTTAATTTATCACGGAAGATTAAATCCGTAACAAAGGTTATCGATAACAACGAAAAGTTCTCCATAAACACTTTTCTAAAAAATAGTAGTTTCCAAACACCACCCTCCTCCTACCAAAAAAGAAAATAGTCGATCAATAGGGAAAAGTGATCGATAACAATTTGTAAACTTTTATATAATAAGTTCTCTTATTCAAAAATATAACGAAATATTAGTTTTCCAAAGAGAAAACCAATTTTCTATAGAGAAAAGTTATCGATAAATATTTTTTTATAAATTTTTCATAGAAAAAATTTGGCGATAACCACCGGAAATTTTACAAAAACAGAAAAAAAAACGATTAAAGTGTCTTTATCAAACAGTTGTCGTTAACAATTTTTGCTAAATGCATGTTCGGGGTTTCGATAACATTTCATAGGTAATCATAGATAATAGGTTATCGTTAATAATTTTTAGATAGAGAAAAATTGTAAATACTACTTTTCTACAAAGGAATAATTGGGGATAATACTTCGCGAATAACTATTTAACGTTAACTAATTTTAAAAAATTGTCGATAACGACTTTTCGCTAGAAATAGTTTTTCCACACTAACTTTAGGTTAGTTCCAGAACTGCAAGAATGTAAAAATTTTTTTACTACGATAACCGATTTTCACTTTATGATATCGAATAAAATTGCAAAACTAGTAGATTCTTGCAGGTTCTGGAACAGAACATTTATTTAAAAAAGAATGAGGTCGATAACAGCCTCACTTTAAAGGAAAATACAATAACAGTTTTTCTATGGGAACAGTTGTCGATAAAATGAAAAAAATTTTCGATAACAGCACTCCCAAAGACTAAGTCGTCGATAACAACTTTTCCATAGGGAATAGTTTTCGATAGCAATGTTTTGAGTATTAAATATTTACGGTAACTACTTTTCTACAGAGAGATTGTCGATAACAGTTTTCTGTAGGGAAAAGTTGTCGATAACATATTTTCTTCCGAAGAATGTAGTTGATATCAACTTTTTGATGGAGAAAAGTTTTCGATAATACATTTCTGAAGCAAAAACTAGTTTTATAACTATCGCCGATAACAATTACTTAATAAAAAATATTTATCGATAGCAAAATCTCTATAGAAAAAAAATCATAGATAACAAGATATCTATGGAGAAATGTTTTTGATAGCAAAGTTTTAATACTAAATAGTTTTCTACAGAAAACTGGCGAATAATAGCTTTTGTGTGGAAAAAGGTTGACGATAACAACTTTTCTATGTAAATGAAAAGTTGCCGATAATAACTTTTCCATATGGCAAAATTGCCGATAATCAAATTTTGTCGGTAAAAGACTTTCTACAAGAAATTTTGTCAATAAATAATTTTCGAGAAATAAAAATTTTTGATGATGGATTTGGGGGAAGTCGATAACTTCTTTTCTTACAAAGGAACTTGTAAACAGTAGCAGTTGAATTAAGAAATTTTATCGATAATTGTTGTCTTATAAAGAAATTACATCGATAACTCGCTTTCATTTGAGAAATAGTCGATAATAACCTTTCTATGGAAAAAGTTGTAAATTTCTAAAGAAACAATTGTTTAACAATGACATTTTTAAAGAGGAAGCTCGAAGATAGCTTGTACAGAAAACCAATTTCAATAAATAAAAGTTATTGTTAACAATTTTTGCAATGGGAAAGTAAACTATGAGTAGTTTTCAAAAGGGAAAACTTGTCGATAAAAATTTTCTAGGGAAAAGGGGTTATCGCTAACTTTTAAAAGTCATTAGCAACTTTTCGATAGAAAGAAGTTGCTACTGATTACTACTCTACCGATAGTAATTTCTATAAAAAAAAACTATTGTCCAACGATAAACTCTTTAAAGACTTGTTTTTTTGTGAAATATTTAAGTCACTGATGGGCTATTTTGTGCATTTTTGCTAATTCCCATTGTTTTGTGTGAAAATCCCCACACTTTGCCATTTTCACCACACATTACTTTCACCTTTCTGAGTTTCTTTGTGTTCTCCCATTCTTTGTTGAATTCTCTCTGGCATTAAAATTTAAGAGAGTATATTTTTTTGTTCTCTCTTATTGTTGTTCTTCACCACACCGAAGAGAGGCCAGTTGTCGGCAATTGATTCGACGTTGGGTTAGCTAAATTTACCAGCCTTAATTCATTTTTATTTAATCCTAACATTTCGAACTGGAGAGACGTATCTGTTAACGTTACGCAGAAACGGAAAACACTGAGAACACAGAAAAAGAAATATTTTTTTGCACAGAAAATATCTAATAAAAACGGAAAAGCCATAGCTTTTAATTAAAAATTATTTATTAAAAATATTAAAGAAAACAAAGAGAAAAAAGTAAGTGTGCGAAAATAAACGATTTTAAACAAAAAGTGGTGTTGTTGGAGCAAAAAAGAAATAAAATGAAATGAAAAAATATCTGAAAGTGTAAAGAGCAGAACACAGAAAATGTATCTGTATCTAATGAATGAACAGAAACAAATGATGAAATGAGTTAAATGATTGAGAAAAAAAAAATGAAAAAAATAAGAAAAACATATTTTCCTTTCATAAATCGTATATTGTGTAACAATTTTGAAAAACGTTTCAAAGAAAATTTTTTTCTGTGGATTGTGGAATACCTACTACAACAAATACACGCAACGAAAAGAAAAACTATACGAAACGTCGTCGATACAAAAGAAAGCCAGCCAGTCAGTCAGTCAGTACTGCTGCAAGTACATGACAATAAAAGCAAACGAAAAAATAATTTACACATGCGAAAATCCATTCATATAGCATTTTTGTTGTTGTTTCTTTACAAGTACCCTTCCCTTTTCCTTCTTCCTGCAATTGAAATCAATAAATCGATTTTTCTTTCTTTACTCTTTTTGTTTTACGAAAAAGAACGCTAACCCCCTGCAAGTTGCTTTGCCGCCGCCACCGTCGACCGACGCTGTCGCTACATCTTTTTTATTAATATTAGTGTTAAAAATAGAGGAGGAAGCAGCAAAAACAGAACAACACAGATATTCCTACCTATTAGTACACACACACACACGTACATACATACAAATTGACACTCAGCCACACAGAGAACAAAATACACCTCATCTATAAACGCCCGCCGCCGTCGCCGTCATTATAAACGACATCGTCAACGTCGCCGCTAAAGGCCCAACATCATCATAGTATACACACAACGTCAAATTATATTTCGTCTGTTTTTGGTGTTTGTGTGTGTGTGTCAGGCTTCTCTCTAACAACCCAGTAAAAAAATTAAGCGCATTCTGATCTCAAAAAAAACTAAAACCCCGACAAACAAACAGTGAAAATAGAAAACTAGTCGTTTTAATATTCTCTATTACAGCGCGTATAGCTGGCGTCGTACAGCGGCAGTTAAACCCCGGAGACAGACAGACACTTTCAATACAATTTTCACGTACAACAAGCCCAAATAAAACAAAGTGAGTAATTGTTGTGTTGGGTTCTTCTTCTACCTAGCATTTCTCTCGTTTGTTTTCATTTTGTGGCCGATGATGATGATGACAACCTTTTTTTGTGTTATTTATTTTAACTTGTAATTTTCCTCATCCTGTCCTCTCCATTTTCATTGAGAGTACTAGATTTAATGAATTTTCATTTTCGTACGCAACTTATTGTTGTTTTTGTCATTCTATGGTGGGGTCAACTAGGTGGTACTGTGTGGCGTGTTAATAACATTTTTTTTTGGTGTGTGGTACAAAGTGTATAGCACACTCGGTGTGTGTGTGTGCGCGTGAATGTGTTCAGTGTAAATTTGCAGTCGTATTGTGAACGAAAAAATAAGTAAATAAAAAGAGAGGGAGCAAATTAAGTTTTCCTATGCGCGTTTTTATGTTTATAATATCAATTTTATATAGTCAGAGTTAGTAGTTCATATAAATAAAATCTTTTCATGTTTGCGCATTACCTATTCATATTCTTTAAGGTAAACAATAGGGTTGCCATGCTTTAGGAATAGTTAAGGGATATCGTTAATTTAGGGGAATAAAAATGAAATGTTTTTTTACGGTAAATTTGGCATAGCAAATTCACGGTTAACCCGCAAGCGATTTCATGAAACTTGGGGTATATAAAAGACAGACTACACGGAGGAGTTGAAATCTTCAAGAATTGTCTTAAAAATGTTATCGATTACATTTACAATCACCAATATTTATTTAGGTACATTTTATCACAGGGTTTTCCTCGGCAAAGTCACTTATCGACAGGTTTCCAGAAGCGAGAATATCAACTATGAAAATTCCAAAATAGTTATCGAATTTTTGGAATTGGAGTTATTGAATATCGACAACATTATATTCGGAAATTCTGTTATCGACTAAATGTTTCTGGGGAACATTTGTAACCTGTGATATATCTTTAATGAAATCTATAATGGGCTGTTCTGTGGTGAAACGAGTTTATTGACAAATATTCTTATATTCTGATGATTGTGGAAAACATTTCTTTATCGGATCTTGTAGTAGAAAACATTTCTGTGGGAGAAAAAATGTTATCGATAATATTTCTTTGTGAAATGTAATATTTCTCTACGCAAAAGACAAGATCCACATCATTTCTCTGTTGAAAAGTAATTATCGAAAAATTATTTTCTATTGCGATGCTTTCTTTATTGAAACTTTATAATCGATGAACTTTCAGAAGAGACAGTTCGTATCTGTATTCTATATTAAAGACGTGTTATCGATTATTCCTCGTCAGTGGAAAATAGTTATTTACACCATTTCTTTATTAATAAGTTATTATCGATAACAATTCTTTATTTTATTCCCGGCAAAGCTGATGCGAAAAACCTTTTCAGTCGAAAAGATTTTATCAGAAAGTGATACAAATTATTGAGGATCTTCCTTTCAATAACATTTATTACTTTATTTTTAATTACTAGCAAAGACTATTCACAGACTATTTTTCTTTTATAATTATTGTCAAGTTAATATCGATAACTTTTATTCGTTGAATGTGCCTTTTTTGCCATCTGTTTCTTACAAATACTGATCGGCAATTTTGATCCATAGAAAATCAACAACTTTTATCAATTATATTTAAGAATTATCGAAATTTTTTTATCTGTCGTAGATATGTTACCGATCATTTTTAAGTTATTATCGATGATACATCTCTATGGAAATGTAGATATAGTAATTTTTGCTACATATAGAACTTGGTATGAAGATATATATCGAAAATGTGTTTTTTCAATTATTAATTTTTTTAACATAGAACAATAGTTATCGAAAAATCGAAAATTTGAAACTTTACATAATAAAAATTATCTAAAAAGTACCTCTATAAAAATTATCGAAAAAGTACTTCTATAAAAATATGCTTTTGGAAGTATCGTATAGCAAAAGAGTTATCGATAACTAATTTATATAAAGTGAAATTGCAGATGGATCCGGTGAATATAGAAGTACTTGTCTTGTAAGAGGAAAGCAATAATGATAATCGTTTGTGTTACTATAATATTATTTCCTAATTCAAATGATTGACATGTTATCATTATTATTCAGTATCCATTAAGATCATGTGAATGCCACACAACTGGCAATATCTTTCTGAACTACAAACAAATTAATTATTAATTATTACAAAAATTATTAATTTGAAATATTAGTTCTAATTTCCATTAAAAAATCGATGTAAACTTGAGGATTTACCTAAAACATGTCCCAGGTAATTCTAGTTTACTGCCATTCTCTACGCTGGCCATTTTCAAACTTCTCATTCATTCTTTGCTTTGCATTGAAACAAACGAAAAAACACCCCCTGCTGATTTTGGAATATTTAAACAAGGCACAAAACCACTTCATTGGAAATGTGTTTTTTTTGTGTGTGGAAAAACACATGGCGTTCGTTTTAGCAAATGAAAGATAAGGGCGACGACATTTATACACCCTTATTTCTAGTTTTCCACCACCAACACCCTCCATTCCTCCCTTGTATATATAATGACTTGCAATAAGGGAAGTTTTGTGGGTGATATCCGAAGACACAAAGACACGGCCTAGAAACTCACCACTTTCATGGGATGGGTTTCCACAACAGGGTTTTGTTGTCTGTTGCCATAACAGAGAGAGAGGGGTAGTTCTATAGATGTTTTTCTCTTGGAAAGAAAAATTTTAATTATGACCCAAAGAGAAAAAGAAATAAAATGTCCTTTCTTAAATTTTTGGCTGGACAATTATCCTGATTTACATGATGTTTGCTTGATTGGTGTTTGTGCACCCCAAAAATTCTCCCTTCTTCGTCCTGCCTTTCTTGTAATTTCTCTTAAAAATGAATGGAAGTATTGCAATAAGGGTGGATTTTTTCATGGAATTTCCAAGCGAAAAATGCTCTAGTCTTGTAACAACGAAGACCGACCGACCGACACGACCCTTGTCTCCGTACATTTTGCAACAAAAATTTACTCTTGCGCCATTCAGGCATCCCGGCAGTACGCGCTCATAGCTTCCACATTTTTTACCGGGAATTCTCATAAAACTTACTGCAGTTTTAGTAGTGTATACATACTCGTTTGAGGTGGTTTAAATAGATTTCCGCATAGCGAAAAATATAATTGTGAATTTAAAATTTTGTGAAATACAAATCTTATTTGAACTTTAATATTTTTGGTAAAGTTTTTTGGCATTTGTTTTTTAAAAACTATGTTTTTATATTTAATTTGCAAAAGTTATTTATTTTTTAAATGTTTAAGGAAATTTTTTAGTATTCGCTAATTTGTTAAAAAACGGAAACAACTTTTTTTCTTACATTTCGTAGATATTTTTGGTTTTGAAAAAACATATTCTTATTTGAAAGCCATTTGTTTTTAATATCAAAAATTTAAAAGATTTTTTTTTGTCAAATTAAGTAATCATTTTTAGTTAAAAAGCAAATTATAAAATTATTTTTATACCAGGTTTATTTTATTCTAGGAAAATTTTCCTTGCAAAAGTTTTCCTTGTCCGCCCATCCCCACAGAAATTTCCCTTAAAAAACAAATTTACTTCCCCTTAATTTGTTGTTCTTCACATCCTTTCCGCATTATTACTTTTTCGGCGACGCTCCCTCGCTCTCATCCCACAAACAACAACAACAACGACAAAACAGTAACGACCTCATTTTTTCCAGGGGTGAATGCCTTGTGCCCAGCCATATCCTCTTGAACATAACCTCTAAACCAAAAAAACATCTCATTTCTCAATCATTTAAAATTATTGAATATTTCAGTTTTTAATTTCATTTTCTTTGTTGGTTTTTTGTATTAATTTTTGTTTTTCCTTTTCCGTTTCTTTTTTTGATTTTCCAGTGGATTTCATGATGGCCAATCCTGGAGCAGCAGTCGATAATCAATCTGCCATTTTGCCTGGTGCCAATCCGGCAGCGGCAGCTGCGCAGCTGGCCGTATCACCAGCCGCCGCAGCTGCTGCCCAACTGCAACAGCAGCAGGTTCAGCAGGCCATATTGCAGGTACAACAACAACAGACCCAACAAGCTGTGGCTGCAGCCGCCGCCGCTGTTGCCCAGCAATTGCAAAATCAAACCAACGGCACCAATGGCAATACAAATGGCTCCAGTGAGACCCGCACCAATTTGATTGTCAACTATTTGCCACAGACCATGAGTGAGGACGAGATACGTTCGCTGTTCTCGAGTGTGGGTGAAATTGAATCGGTGAAATTGATACGCGACAAAAGTCAACCCTTTTTGGATCCCTTGAACCCCACAGCCACCAAGGGTCAAAGTTTGGGCTATGGATTTGTTAATTATGTACGGCCCCAAGATGCTGAGCAGGCTGTCAATGTTTTGAATGGTTTGCGGCTGCAAAATAAAACCATAAAGGTGTCATTTGCCCGACCCTCCTCGGAGGCTATAAAGGGCGCCAACCTATATGTTTCCGGTCTGCCCAAGACCATGACTCAACAAGATTTGGAGGCAATTTTTGCACCATTTGGTCAAATAATTACTTCGAGGATTTTGCAAAATGCCGGTAATGATACCCAAACCAAGGGTGTGGGTTTCATTCGGTTCGACAAACGTGAAGAGGCCACCAGGGCCATAATTGCATTGAACGGTACCACACCCACGGGTTGCACCGACCCCATTGTGGTGAAATTCTCCAATACCCCGGGCAGTACAAACAAGATAATCCAGCCTCAGATTCCAACCTTTTTAAATCCCCAGCTGGTGCGACGCATTGGTGGTGCCATGCACACGCCCGTCAACAAGGGTCTGGCCCGTTTTTCACCCATGGCCGGTGATATGTTGGACGTAATGCTGCCCAATGGCTTGGGTGCTGCTGCCGCCACCTCATTGGCCACTGGGCCCGGTGGTGCTTATCCCATATTCATTTACAACTTGGCACCCGAAACCGAAGAATCTTCGCTGTGGCAGCTATTTGGTCCCTTTGGCGCTGTGCAATCCGTGAAAATTGTCAAAGACTCGTCGACCAATCAATGCAAAGGTTATGGCTTTGTGTCCATGACCAACTACGATGAAGCAGCTATGGCAATAAGGGCGCTCAATGGTTATACTTTGGGTAATCGAGTATTACAAGTTAGTTTTAAGACTAACAAAAAGTAAATTAGGCAAGAACAAAAAAACAAAACACATACATAACATAATTTATATATATATAGTATATAGAAAGAACACAGAACAACAACACATTTCTTAAGCATACAATAGATGATAACTTGTCCCCTCTATTACTACTACTACTACTCCTCACAAACAGACACCCACATTTAATAATTGCAAGTAGGATCTGGAGTTTTAAACAATGCAAATGCTGACTATTTTTCTTGCAAAAGAAAAAGGGAGGAAAGATATTTGGTCTCCCTCTCTCTGTTGTTTTAAAACTCTTGCCCACCTGGCAACTGGAAATAATGCATGTCCTTTTTTGAAATTTGCATGATTGAGGATTCTTTTCTTATAAAGAAAATTGTCCTTTGCTTCTTAAAGAGATCAACAAAAGAAATGACAAGGCAATATTTTGATGAAAGAAGTAACAATTTTTTATTAAAAATAAAAAACGGAAAGAAAAACAATTTTAACATATAGGCTAAAAAGAATAATGAAGAACGACCGAACGATCGAAACAGCAAAAAAAGAAAGTAAAACAAACTAAAATTTGGGAAAAGCAAGCAAAACAAGTAAATCTTCCAAGAAATAAAAAAACGCATAAATTTAATTAAACAAAACTATTAAGAAAGTAAAACAATTTTCAAACACTCGCCAGTGAAAGAAAAACAAAAAAAAGAAACATTTTTAAAATAATAATTAATATAGAATTTTTTCTATATTTAAAAAAAAAGAAGAGTTAAGAAACGATACACACACAAACATAGCTATAAAGAGGCTTTTTACAGTATTACAAGATATTATGTTTTAGCAAAACAATTGTTCAGAACAAATTCAAAATGAGTGAAGAAAAAGCTAGAGGCCATCAGCATCATCGTCATTATTATTATTACCATTACTAAATTTACTGGTGAATGTTAGAAGAATACCTAATTAAACAAAACTCCTTTTTATTACTATTAATATAAATATAATACAAAAAAAAAAGGAAAAGAAAAATCGAAACAAACAAAAACCAAAACTAGTTAAAAATTAAACAAACAAAAAACTCAAAGTAACAAACAACAATAATTTATGAATATCATCATAGATCGGTTCCCCTAACCAGGAGAATAGCAAGTATTTATAATTTAAAATGTAGCGAAATTGGTAAAAGAAAAACACTCCGAAATACGAAATCCCTGGGGAGCTTTGGGTGCAAGGAAAATTTGCATTAGGTTTTTTTATGGAAAACATACAAAAATAGTAGGGCAAAGATATTAAAATTCAAAACTTTTCTTAGATTTCTTCCTATACAGAGGCCTAATAAATTTCAGAAGAAAACATTGTTCTTAAAAAGGCTAACTGAGTTGTGAGAGAGAACGAGACCTTCCTATCACATTTAGAAATAAAAATTTGTTTCATTGATGAAAATAATACGGTTTTGAAAGTCTCTCTCTTGCTCACCCATTGACATAACAAATTTTTAAATGGAAGTCCCTTCTGGCTAATAAATGTTACTAGTTACTATTCTTAAAAAAAGAGTCGTGGAAGAAAATCTGAGTTACTTGACAGTGAGGGCCTAAGGAAAAGAAAATGAAAAAGACTCAGTTTTCGTTAAGGATTTTTTGGGTGACTGTCTCCCTCTATAGATAGAAGACCTTCTGTAAAACTGAAGTGAAAGGTCTTGCATTGATTCTCAATGAATATAATACCTTACCGAGATAACGACAGCCAGGGATAGAAACTGTTTAAACTGTTTAAGGTTTTAAAAGCGAATGTCAAAGAACAGTTTCTCTCCCTTGCTGACCCATAGACTTAACAAATTTTTAAACGGAAGGCCCTTCTAGTTTATAAAAGTTACTAGTTACTATTCTTAAAAAAAGAGTCGTAGAAGAAAATCCGAGTTACTTGATAGTAAGGCCCTAAGGAAAATAAAATGGAAAAGACTCAGTTTTAATTAATGGATTTTTTGGAAGACTGTCTCACTCTATGGACAGAAGACCTTCTGTAAAACTAAAATGAAAGGTCTTGCATTGATTCTCACTGAATATAATACCTTGCCTAGATATCGCCAGTCAGGAATATAAACTATTTAAGATGTTAGCTTTTTCTTGCCCGCCCGCTCCCATCTCCTCTTGGATTTTTTTTGGGTGAAAACAAAAAGCAAACTTGATCATTTACAAAATGAAGAAACATTATAAAGCACAAATGTTTATACAATAAATCGTATTATGAAATAACAAATATATATAATTCTTTTTAATTGAATTTTATAATTTTTCATCTAAACTATAGATATGCTTTGAGTTGCTTTGTTTTGAAATTGCTTTTGTTTTTTTTTTCTTTTTGGTTTTTGGTAAATACATCTCTCCAAAAACTCCACCCTCTCTGTCCTCGTGCGCCCCCCATGAACCATCAGCAGCATTTCACTGGTTTTTCTTTTGCCCCCATCCTCCAGCAGAAGAAAATTAGGATTGCATTAAATTTTAGTTTGTTTTCTTTTTTTCAAAACTTATTGTTAGTGTTGTTTCTTTGTTTTTTCTTACATAGAGATATACATAAATATTATTATTAATTTCTTTTGTTGATTTCTTTAAGTTTTTCTTTAGAGAAGAAATTATTAAAGTAATTTTTCATATTTTATTATATAGAAAAAAAATGTATTTATTTTTAATTATATATAAAACTTGATTTTTCCGATTCTTTCTTCAAAAGGCAGGCATTATTTGTTTAAAGTTCAGTAAAGAAAAAATACTTATTTTTTAGTACCAAAAAAAGCAAAAAGGAGAAGGGAAAACAAAACAATTATGGCATCAAGTTTGAAGATCCATCTTCTTCTTCAACCTTAAAATGTTGGAGAAAAATTATTTTTATTTTCCCTTGTCCCCATTTGAAACAAATTTGTATTTCATTATTAGAAAAATATCATTACAAAACATCAGCGCATATGACCCCCCTCCTTTCTTCTCACACTCTATTCTCTCTCATTTAAATGTTTAAATATTTACATATACATATTTATTATTATACTATTTAATATTTATAATTGATTATTATGTGTATGCGATTTTAGTAACTTTTTTTTTAGTATGTATACATATATATATTTTAAAAACAACAATACACACACACAATTATAATTTTCTTAACAAAACACTTTAGTTCTTAAGCAACCAAAAACAAAAATAATTTATATAAAAAATTAGTATTTAAAAAAAACAAAACGTGAGGAAAACCAACTCCCTAATGAAAGATACAAGAGAAAGCAAGAACAAATCTAACAACAAAAAGTAACAAACAAAAATCTAGTCAGTGAAAAAAAAAAAAATAAAATATAAAAATATATATTTTTAAAATTAAGTTTAAAAACCAAGCAGCTTAATATATATATAAACATACAAGAAATGAAAAAAGAAAACAACTCTTGAAAATATCATAGGAGTTTTTTTCATTTTTGAACAACATCTCTAGCTAAACGTTTTTCTTTTAAGAAAAATATATATTTTTTCAGTTTTTCAATTTTTTTGTACACTAATTTCTTTTTTTTTTTCTTTTTATTTAATTTCTTCTCAAACTTGTTGTTATTGCAAGGAAGGAAACGTAACCTATATAATCCAAAGATTTAAATATTTAGTAAAATTCTATATACAAAAATAACACAAACATAGAAGTTTTCTATAGGGACTCGATGAAATAAGGGAAAAGGTTGTCATTCATTCAAATTGAATTTGAGGTTATGTTTAAGCCAAATTTCAATATTGAAGCTTTTCCAACAAAACACACGCAAATTTTATGTAGTAATCAAATTCTTTCCATGAATAAATGGTAATATATCAAAACAAGAAAAGTTTAAAAATAATATAAACTATTGAGGTTATGTCCGTTAAAAAAACATTTTTTGAATTCATATGAAACAAAGACATAAGACTTGTGTGTTCAATTCAAGTATTTTCAGAAAATACTTAAGAATACGAAATAAAAAAAGAAATTAAAGGATTTCGCATTGAAAGAAAGTCCTGGTTTTATTGTAGCCGCAACCAAGAATTTCTCAAATTATGGCATAATGTGGAAAAGAATTCTTGAAAAACTCAATTTTTTTCTGAAAACATTTTTCACGTGGTGTTTAACTAAAGAAAGAATTTTACATGAAAAAAGTAACAGAAAAAATTCACAAATTATGTATACATTCTGGAATTCATGTTCATTCCAGTAAAGAATTAAAGTATTTTCAAAATGTTTTCAAAAAAATGTTAACCCTAAAAATCATTAACAAATTTAATTCTTTCTTTAATTTTTTTCTTAAATTTAGAAAATAGAACATTATTTTGTACTCAATTCAAATAATTTCATAAATTAATAAGGACTATGGCAAGTTTTTTCGTTATTAATATAACTTCAAAAAATTGTTTTAAAAAATTGAGGTTACGTTAAACAAATTAATTTTTTTTGGCTTCAAATTATGCAAAATGTTCATATATTAAACACAATTACTTCAAATTTCGTAAACTGCTACAAAATATGGTTGCAATTTTCCTAAAAAGCCCAAAAATATTGATAACAATTTTTGAGGTTATGTTGAACAGAATTTAATTTTTCGTAATAAACCTATTATATTATAGAATATTACACATACGGAAATATATTTATGAAAAAATAAAGCAATATCAAAATTTTAAGGTTTAGATTTTTAAGATTTTTTCCAAAAAAATATATCTCATTTTTTGAGGTTATGTTGAATTTTTTTCCTTATTTTTCAAAATAAGGTAAAATTTTAAGGTTTTGCTACAAATATGAGTTCTGTGACAAACAATTCGGTATAATTAAAAAACTAAAATTCAAGACCTACCTCCGAAAGTGCGATATAAAGAAGACATCATAACCTCAAATAGACAAAAGCGTTTTTTTGAATGAAAACCCTTTCCCACTATCATCGAGACCCAAATTATATAAAAATCAACTATTCGTATATAGTCGAAAAGAGAAGAGTATAGATTTTTTTAATAAAATACTTTTCAATACTTCTTTTTGTTGTAAAACACAAAACCTAACCTAAAAAAATAATGCAAGCTAATGAAATTATGAAATTAGTAATGAAAACTAACTAAGATAATAACGAGAACACATATACACACACAAATTTCTGTGCAATAGAAGAAATGAAATGTAACAAATGAAGGCAAATTGCAAATTTTTTTAATAAGAAAATTAGGTATCTCATTTTTATACAAAAAACAATTGCTAACAATTTTTATGTAAATATATATATTTATGACAAAAATATATTTTAATTTTTTTCTTTTTTCATTATCTTATATTTAAAAAAAAAAACTTATTTATTACACATTTTATGTATTAAGAAATGAAAGAAAAAAAAACAAAACAATATAACAAAAGAATCCATTGAGAAGAATAACACAAACAAACAAATGGCAATGATTTTTGTGAATTTTCATTTATCTACACATATTTTCAAACTTCTTTTTTAATTTTTCAAATAATTTTAATTTTAATTCGTGAAAATACAACAAAATAATCATCACATTATGAGACAATTGAATAAAGAAAGTTTCAAGATCTGGCATCTTGACTTTCGCCGTTAGAGTAATTGATAATTTTTCTTTAACCCTTTCTCTTTTTTTTTAATTTAATTATAATTTATGTTCTTATACACACACATATACATGCATATTTATAGTATATAGTAAAAGCAACATGATTTTTAATTTAATTTTTTTATTATTTTCTTTTTGTGGTTTTAGGTTTTTTTCTTTGTATTTAGTTTAATTTTTTTTTAATTTTAATTTCACCATATTTTTTTAGTTTGTAATTTGATTTTGTTCTTAGTTTTTTTTTTTACATTTTTTTGTCAATTGCTATCTCTTTTTATTTTAATTCATTATTATTATTTTTTTAATAAATGCGAAAAAAATCAACTTTTGGGAAAGTCATAAACTAACCTCTCCCATTTGTAAACCAAAAAAACAAGTAAAGAGAAACCCAAATTCTGTTTTGTGTAATTCTGGGAGAATGTTTTGGAAAATTGGATAAAAAACAAATTGGAAACATTTTAAGCAAATATAAGAGGCTTTTTTAATTAAAAAAAAATACAGACTGAGATAAAAAAAAAACTGCAACAAAGTCAAACGCCATAATTTTTACATTTTTTTTTTAATTTTATTAAATGAAACCAAAAATGTTGGAAATAGCATCAAATTTTAGATTTGTTCGAATTGGTCACCTTTGACAAGAATTATGGCCTTCAAACGGCCAATGAAACAACCATCACACACTGCCCGAATGTTGCTCTGCGCTATTTTGGCCCATTCCTGGCGAAGCGCTAGTGAATCGACACTTTGGTAGTTTTTAATGGCAACCTTGCAAACAATTTAATGAGCTGTCACTGAAATAATTTTAACAGCTGTCGGACGAGTGGCTTAGAAATGACAACAGTCTGAAGTTGGTTGCAGTTTTTTTTATCTCATCCTGTATATAAAAATATTAGTAACCTCGTTTTGAGGTTTAAATTTTCCTTCATTGACAAGTTATTTCATAAAAAATAGATGGATGGTAATCTTCGGAATTTGGCAAAGCTCTATAGCTATCAGTCATGAAAACTTGCAATAAAAAAATTTCTTTTGTGAATTTTAGAAAATTTTCCATCGAAAGAATTGTTTTGTTTTCGCCTCTTTTTAAAAAAAGTAATTTTCAAGACTTGAGGAAAAGTGACGAATGGACAATAAAATTTTAAAATTTTGTCCAAATAATTAGAACTCTTAAAATTTTCCAATTTTTTATCCAAAATTTTCCCTCTCCCCATTGTCATGTCATAATTCTCATTTCGTTTACACACATATGTATATTGGTTGACTTAGATTTATCACATTATTATTTATATAATAATTTTATTTTATTTTTTTTTAATTACTACAACTTTACAAAAAATAACCTTATTATTTTTATCATTTTTTCCTGTTTGTTCTCTTTTTTTTTGTTTTTGTAATTATTATAATTTATTATGTAAAATGTAATGCAAAAACCAACAACAACAAAAACAATTTTTATTAATAAAACAAATATTTTATTTTTTTGACAAAACAAAAAAACTTTTGATTTTTTATTTATTTTTATAATTTCGTTTTTAGTTATGTTTTTCTTTTTCCATTTTAATATTCATATTTTTTTTAGTTTCGTTTGTTTTCGTAACAGAATGAGTTAGTGAGAAGAACAACCAGAGAAGCAGAAAGAGAGAGAGGGAGTGTGCTGCTAACCAACTTCATTTATTTTAACCCCTTCCATGTTTTGTAGTGCGTGAGAGAGAGCGAGAGAATGTGAATGGCTAGTAAATGAGATCTTTTGGGTGCTATTTACCAAGCCACTGTTTACACAGTTGGCGCATAACACAAGTTTCTTTGTGAAATTTTACTGGCATTTTATTTTTTTTACATTAATAGCCCTGTGTAAACAGTTGACTTATTTTATTTTGTGTCTTTCTGAGTAGATTTTTAGTATGATTTTTTTTATTGTTTTTTTGTAGATTTTTGTTTTATTTTTCTTTTTTTTGCTCTCAACATTCCACCAAACTAAACAACAAACAAACCTTTCACCTTTGACATTCCAACTGTTTCCAAACGATTCTAGTCATAATCTCTATTTCAAAACAAAATAACAAATGATCTCAAAACTTAATATTGTTTATAGTAACAAAAAAATATATATAATATTAAAACATTCCATATTCTTCTTGGAATATACAGACATACGAAACAAAAAAAAAAAAAAACTCATAAAATTGCTAGTCAAAATTTATTAACAAAAAAACAAGATCGAGAAAAAAATTATTAAAATTTCCTAAAACAAAAAATTGCAAACTAATTGAAAAGAATTCAAAAAATGGTATAGCTTAGTAAGCCAGAAATAATTACTTGTAAACCAAACCAACCACACACACATTTTGAAGACAAAACAAAGGTAGTATAACATAGTGTTTTATAAACATTAAAGTAAACAACAATAAGAACACTACAATTACCAAGAAGAACATTTTAATGAACATTTATTTCATTAAAACACCAACAGTTTTTGTTTAGCATATAAACTAAAAAAGTTTCAGGTCCATTCCCAGTCTTGTGCAATAGAATATAACAACAAAGGCTCAGAATATTTAGAATTTTTTCAAAATTTAAGGGAAACATGCAAGACCCCTTTTGTGTTTCAAATATTTTTTTTTTTCAATATAACCACCATTAATGTGTTAAACCTGGAACTTTTTAAGGTTATGTTTAAAATAAAAATTTATTTTTCTTTTTTTTTTTGCTCTTTTGAAAATTTTTGTTTTCGAAACAGTAATTTTTCAACAACAACAGAAACCAATTTAATACTCACATATATTTTTTTTAATTAAATGTACTTAAAACTGAATTTTAAGTTTTATTTTATATAAAAAAAAAACACATAAATCTCTTTCTAATTATTTTCTATCTATCTTTGTGAACAAAACCAAAACAAGAATGACAACAAAATATTCATTTAATTAATTTAATTGTATACGTGTGTAATTGTAATCAAAGCATATTTATTATATATCAAGATATTTATTTATTACATTTAGTTTAATTAACAACAAGACAAAATCCAAAAGCAACACAATGATTATTTGTTTAATTATTTATTGATTTTTTTTTTCAATTATATAATGATATTAATTATTGCAAAACCAAGCAAATTTATTATTATTATTACTTCTAATCTTATTAATTACTTATATTTATTACTTAATTATCATTAAAACCCAACAACAAAAAATATGCAAAAAAAAAAAAAACAAAAAACCAAAACTCATCTTTAAACCAAAAAAAAAAAAAAAAAACAAAATAATATTATAAATGTATTTAAAAAAAAATTAAAAATTATGAGTTTTTCATTTTCAATTCTTTTACGAAACAAAATGCAAACAAACAAAAAAATAACCAGGTTCATTTATTTTAAGTTAAATGATTTCGGTTTAGATTTTTGTGTTGTGTTTATTTCTATTGCTCTCTACCTTTCAAAGAAAATTTTCCTAAAACTTAAGAATTTTTTCATGTTTTAAACGAAAAACCTTAATTTTTTACAGAAGAGTGACTGTTTCACACTCTGTACAAATTAAATTTATGTACCTAACCAAATATTGGAGATATCGACAAAAATATATAATTTTTTAAAATGAAAAAATTGTTAGCCAAATTTTCATAATAGAATTCAACAGAGCCTAACTAGGAGATGTGACAAGTGTATCCACAAACAAATAACATATTTTTAAAGCATAGATTCTTAGCTTTAAATAATGGGCGAATATGTTAATATAACTAACCAAATACCAGAGATATCGACCGAAATACACAATTACCCAAAAAGACAAATTTTTTGGGAATTTTCCGTAATCAATTTATAAAGAACATAACTTTCAAAATAACTAAGATATCCCAAGAAAATTAATTGATTTTTAAAGAAGAAATGCTAAACTTTAAATAGACTGCAAATATTCCAAAATAGCTTGTCAATTGACATAGATATCGGCAAAAGTGCATGATTACCCAAAATTACATATTTTTCGGAATTTTTGCGTAACCAAGTTCAAGAAGACACAACTTTTAAAGTCAGAGGTGTATCTAAACGAAATAACCCAATTTCGAAAGAGGAGACTTAATTCTTTCAATTAAATAACATTTTGTTGAAATATCTAACCAAATACCCGAGATATAGGCCAAAGTAGACAAGTACGCAAAATTACCAATTTTTGGTCATTTTTGAGTTAACAGTTTTCAGAGGTCTATAACTAATCATTGTCTTGTTGCAAAATGATTACAGATAGAAAGAATATATTCGAAATATTCTAAAATAATAGAGTTATTTTATTATTAACGACCAAATACCAAAAATATCGACCAAAGTACACATTTACCCAAAATAATCAATTTTCAGTCATTTCTTTGCAATCAAGCTAAAAGGGCCATAACTTTGGAAAAAAACACACAAATTCAAACATTATTTTCAGAGATTATAAGAAGACATTCAGAGCTTTAAATGGCGGGTGGATATGTTAATATAGCTAACCAAATCGGGAAGATATCGACCAAAGTATAGAAGTGTTCAAAATTACCAACTTTTGGAACCATTCAATTAATTTGCTTCTATGGACCATAACTTTAGAAATAATAAAAGAAAGACAAACAAAATGAACAGATTTTCATAAAAGATAGTATAATTATTAGGTAGAACAAATTATGTTAATATAGCTCATTAATTAACAGAGATATGGGGCAAAGTACCCAAGTGAGAAAAGTGAACAGTTTCTGGAAATATTATCGTAACAACGTTCTAGAGGTTATAACTTCGATTATTATT